GAATTCTGCTCCATTTCTTTATCCACATACCAAACATGCATGAAACATACCAGAAAAGTACCGAATTCTGCTGTAAATATTTCTGCCGGCATTATCAGCCAAGGGCTACCAGTGACCACAAATACAATGTAGCTAGAATAGAATACGAATGGTGCTACTACAGATGGCAGACTCTACTGATGTTTGTGGGTAACATAACTAACACTTCGTAAGACATCCCCATGATCCCGATTGACATCCACTAGCGAGTACATGTAGCTTGCACGGTGTGCTGATGATGTGCCTCCATGGTCCAGACAGAATCTGATAAGTCTCCAGAACAGTCCTGGACTTCATGATTCATCGCGTCTCACTGAGCCTGTAATCAGCAATCTTCGACACAACTCTTGCATTTGATCTCATGCCGATACTGTACGAACTGTCAAAGTGTAAATTTATCTTCGCGAATTAAAAAGAGAATACCCTCCTTATGTTGTTTGAACTTGTTTCTATAACTACTTACTTAGAACCTTCCAAGTAGTAGTTGGAAGGCTGTTGGAGTTCGCATCCCAGATGTGCTAGAGCTGTTAGCCAGTTAGTTGTAGAACGTCAGTACCGTCGGTCAATGTCGTGCAAATTATCGCATGAGCTGATTGTTTAGTAACTGGTGGTGTCAGTGGACATTGTAGCGTAACTTGTAGTTCCTTGGTCCTTTTTCTTTTCTATAAAAAGAGAATAAAGAAAGTTTACCAGTTACTAGTATCCGTTTGTGTCCAACACTAACAAATACATGTACATGTTAAGCATGATACTGGTGAGTCAGAACGTGCAACAATTAGCACAACACTGACTGATGTGATACTGACATTCAACGACCTGATGCTTAGCTGCATCACGTCTTGGAATGCGCAAACTCAACTGACAGCCTTCCAACTTGGAAGGTTCTATTAGTATTAATAGGAGGAACTAGCAATCTTAATAAGAAAGGGGAAGGTGAGCGCACACAAGACATTTCAAGATTTCACAATCCAGTTCTGTTGTCGTGTTTCCTCATCAAGTGAAGTGCAAGTCCAAGGAACTAAAATCACCATACCACCATGGAGATACAACAGGTAGCGTCAGTAAACCAACAGTGCTAGTGCCGGTACCAAGAGTACATACCGGTAAACCCAGTGGTAACCGCTATTACCGCTATTACTATTACTGTTGAAGGAAGAGCGAAGCCTGAAACAGAGTGCAACAAGGAAAGAAAGAAGAGGCGAGTCGGAGAGATGAAACAAGAGCGGCAAAATACACAGTGCCAACGACACAGCACCCGGGACACTGCGTGGACAAGTGCTGTGGGGTACCAGTAAACAACTAACTTGAGATAATTATTATGACATTTCCATTTTGAAACTCGGATGTTGAGCCAATAATAAATGTAGAAAGGAAAAGGAAATATAGATGCGAGTTGAGAGTAACTCTCCACCTTTTCCTTTCTACATTTATTATTGGCTCAACATCCGAGTTTCAAATTGCACACCTGATGAGCCGTCACGAACCATATGGCGAAACGTACGTCGTGTGAAACAAGTTACTTACTTGTTTTGTAGTCAACTAGTCCATCACTATGTCATGTATTAGGAGTACTGTAGGAGTTTGGCTTTCGGCTTGTACAATTCGTTTTCGCAAAGCTTCCCCTTCTTTACTTATCTTTGATATTTTTGACCCACCCAATTTGGGTGGTGTGCTGCTTTGCTGCTTCGAATTGTAGTTAGACCGCTTTGTCGAATATCCTACTGGTCTCGTCATAGTCCAGTAACAATCGACATTATTTGTTCCGTTGGGACTGTAGCTTGTGCTCATTTTCGTTGCGCTTGCCTTCCCCTCTTTGGTCTTTCCATAACCTTGAACCTTCCAAGTTGGAAGGCTGTCGGTTAGCGCTACGGAGATGTGTTGAAGCTACATGTAGGTCTCAGGACGTCGAATGTCTCAGTACTCTGTCAGTTTTGTGCCTAGTTGTTGCACTTTCTGACTGTATAATTATAGTATCTGGTTACAGTGATGGAGAGTTACTCTCAACTCGTATCTATATTTCCTTTTCCTTCTACATTTCCCTTTGTTTGCATAATGGTGGCTGTCCACCTGTAAACACCTCCATTCCCCGAATAGTATAGGCTTTCAGCTGCACCAACATGAATAAACTGAGTACTGCCAATGATTTCGGCCACTGGGCATCAACAGGGCAATGCGCAATATACAATGGGCGAATCTTGGCAGTACTTTTAGTTTTATTCATTTTGTACAGCGGAATTGGAGACTTCTTAGGGAAAAGTGATGACTGTGTATGTGCATCTAAATGATCGTACATGTACTTTATGCACGTACATGATTGTACTTTATGCACGTACATGTACATGTACATGTACTTTATGCACGTACAATGTACATGTACATGTACGTGTACTTTATGCACGTACATGTACATGTACGTGTATACATGACTGTAGCTTCTACTTTCTAGCACTTCTTGAAGTTCTTCAAAGGAATGAGACAGTCATGCAGGCTTGTACTGTTGTAGTTTGTAGAGCAGAACTGTCTTTATTTTCCACAATCATGCATTTTTCTGATTTTTTTCTCCAGTGTATGATTTATTAGAGGGAGGCTAGCGTAGAGGAGAGCAAAGCAAATACATGTACATGTAGGTCTAACGACGGTAACTGTTACGTTTGTAGGCAGGGAACAGAATGCAATATGCATGTACATGTAGATTAATATTAGACTCCGAGTTTCACACTAATATTACATGTAGTAGGAAATCTTCACACAGCTGCAAACTTACTTTCACAATCATGTACAAATGCACGTACTGTCAGTGTCACAGCGGCTAGGATGTTGTTGTGTTAGCAGCTACTAGTAATAATACACGGAGGTTGTGGTTGATTTTCTCAACTACTACTGTAGTCCAGTGTACATGCATTTCCTAAGTAGTAAGCTGGTTGTGTTTCTCAACGCTACTGTTGTAACGCGGACGTGCGAACTAAGTTACTTTACTTGTTTTACATGTACATGTACATGTATGTTGGTATGTGTAGATGTTGAACTTGTTACTTGATAATCTAGCACAAAGTATAGTATATCAAAATACTAACACATTGTACAATCATGTACTCGTCAATATGGTGCCAATTATTTTCTGCGAAACAGTGATCATGACGTACATAGTGTGTGACACCCGGCCTAGCTAGCTGGTGATGAGTGATCTGACCAGTGACCCGATGATTGTCAATTTGTCACATCCAGATTCCACAGCTAGCTTGTTACTGATTATGATCTCTGGCCTGCAGGTCATGTACATGTACTTACACATGACTGTATTTTAGTTCTCTCACTACTTCGTACTGTATTTTAGTTGTCAATTTTTTCACATGTACTTTATCTTGACAATTTCAGTTGTCAATCAATCTACATGTACATGTACATGACTGGTAGACCCCAGTTACTAGACATGTAGACTCTACATTCTACAATGTAGTTGACACATGCTGAGCGTGAAAGTCGGACTCGGAGCACATGTACATGTACATGTACATGTGTATGTACAATGTAGATTGACGGATTCTCCCAAAAAGCGGGCGCTGCTCGGGGCTCTCTACTACATGGTAATCAAACATTGTACTCTGTGGGGGTGTATTGCCATGCTATCCCCCTACCGGCTACACTGACCAATCTCCAGTGCAACAGACTGTCAAGTGTCAGTCTACCATGGTCTACATGTAGTGATGTAGAGTTAAGTTGTAGACCTACACTAGAGCAGTGAGTCTGTGATGAATCCGACCGGGGTAAAGATCTCTGTACCGCCTCTCCCCGTTGTCCAGTACTAGTACTACTGACTAGCACAACGAGTAGAATACAGTATTTCCAGTGCAACAGACTGTCAAGTGTCAGTCTACCATGGTCTACATGTATATGTGATGATGTAGTGATGTAGAGTTGTAGACCTACACTAGAGCAGTGAGTCTGTGATGAATCCGACCAGGGTGAAGATCTCTGTACCGCCTCTCCCCGTTGTCCAGTACTGACTAGCACAACGAGTAGAATTACAGTATTAAACTATTTGTACTAGAAGAAGAGTCATACGTACCTCACTCAGTACATGCATGCTGAGCTAGCTATCTTGACTTTAGCGTTGATCCCAGGCCAAGGCAAGAGTCAGACCTTTGCCTCAGGCTTTGGTCCTGACTGAGACTGATCTGAACTGCAGCTCACCAGCACAGCTTCTGCAAAGGTGTAGGACTCACACACGGACTGAAGTGAAACACTGAAGTGAATCGCTCCTTCTACTGTACTCATGGATGATTGACCGACTGAGCTCAGTCAGTCAATCATCCAGGCCGTCTAGCATTTAATAGTCAATCATAATTATTCCCAGCAGAATGGATCATGGGAGTTCCATTTTTTTAGTCATTACGTTCTCCTAGATCCTCTATTCCTCTTGCCTGTACTGTGTAGCTGTGTGGGCCAATGGTGCTGTCAAACATCACGGACGCGACTGGTCACTTATACAATAATTGAAGTGAAAGTGGAAACTGGACTTTGTGGGAAGCACTTCTCACGTCATGGTGTGCTCGTGCTACATGTATGTGCTGAGTCGTGGAATCATGCCATCATACGTATACGTAGAGTCTAAACAGTAAACTCCTGTATTAAAAGTGTAACAATATTCCTGTCGAAATCGAAAAAATATGTCACGTGCAGGGCTACTTTGTGGGGAACGTCATTATCGGGCATCAGTCGCACAGTCAGGCACCCAGCCAGGCCAGGCCACATGCATCGAATCAGTGCATGACTGCGTGCCCGTGCATGCAACACTAACAACACTAACACTATTCACTAACGTAGTAACGATCAGTCAACACTAGGTCAGTACAGCTACATGTAGCTCTGTACCAGTGCAGTGTCCAACGCGCCTGGCATGCACAACACCTCACTGACACTGGTCCTCAGGCTCAGGCTCAGGACGCGGGCCTGGTGGAGCAGTCAGCGCTGCAGCAGTGCCAGTGGAGCGTCTTGGAAGTCTTGACATCAAGCTCATCGACATCGGGCTGAAGCTCCAGCTTTACTTGGGACCTTTGCGAAATAGCAGTGTGTCGTCTTGTTGCCGGCTGTGCCCTGGATGCAGCGATCTTGAGTCTTGACCTAAGCCGCGACCTGCTTCTGACCGTGTGGCTTCGTGCGCAGTGCATGTACGGATAGTGTCTTGCTAGTCCCCTGGCCTTCAGACAGTTGCTTGCCTAGAAGTGCACATGGCGTGAAGAGGACATTATCGAATGCTGTTGTTCAGCTAAGCTGGAGAGATAGCGCACTTTCAGGCCAGTTTGCTGGTCACAGTGGTGGTCAATCCGTGTAACGACGATCGTCACTAGTCTTGTTGTGTTCGATCGTGTCCCATTCCGTGGGCAGAAAACGGTGTCATCGTGTGCCAGTCCGGGAATCTTCACCATGAGCTTTGACGGTCATCTTCCAGGCAGTATGGCGGCTGGTGAAATGTTGGAGAAGGCTCCTTCGATTCGAGTGAGTGTTACCGTTAGGCTGCAGTAGAGTGTGACAACCGCCAGGTCTGTGTTGGTTTCCACACCTTCATGTGAAGAATTTCATGGTTGTGCATGTTTTGTAGTGATTCTGTGTATTTTTCATTGGCGGGGATTTATTTTTGGACCTTGTTTCAAAATACTCGTTCAAGTATTAGTTTGGATTCTCCGGTCTTGGTCTCAGCGTGTCTGTTTGTAGGGTTTCGCAGGGTGTGCGGGCATGTTCTATTTTGTGATCACTTATACTACAACATGTTGTTTGTGCGTGTAGGGATACGGTGGTGATTTGAGCGGTGCTGCTACAATGCGAACGAAAGTTCAGAGCAAGCGCCAGGCGCTGAATGGTCAGATTAGCAAGGAGATCAGAATGCTGGAGGGAGCCGAGAACCTACTAAGGTACGGCTGCTGGCTTTTTGGCCATCTATACGCAGCTTGTTGTTTGCATGCCATTGCTTGCTGACATCCCCAATGCAGTGTACATGTATATCCAGTTGAAGGCATTTTGTAATTGTACTCTACATTGGACTGGTGGTCACTAATTCGCTATGTCTATGTCACTATAAGTATAAGTTCGTCAAGTATTTGCCAGTATTGGAGAAGCACTTCCGTTGCTCTCTAAAATGATTTGGAAGCGAAAGATGTGCGCTGTAGTACCGGTAGTTTCTTATCCGATGCTGGTTGCTACTGCACTGCTGATGTCGTCAACGTGCTGTGTGTGCTGGAGAAAACTGCACTCAGTACGAAGTTATGTAGCCCAGATTTGAGCAAGAATGGTCCCTAAATAATTCGTTACTGCCTGGGCACATAGCAGGTTTCATGGACAGCGTCGCAAAGCTGGCATGGCATCCTCCAACTATCCACCTGCTCTCAGGAGGTCTGCAGTGTTGACATCCAACAATGAACTGCACCGACCGTGTGCGCCACTGCGTGCAACTATTGGCTCTACCCAATTATTTCAATCATTCCGTAATGATTACCGAGGCGAATGCTCATTTCTAACATTAGGAGGAGCGTTCCTTCCACACTTCTCCTAAAGCCATTTCGAGTTTCGAGATATGCTAAGACCTTCGCATGGTAGACCCACAGTGGTCTATAGGTGAAGTAGACTAGATCATGCGCGCTATTTAGCAGCCATACGAACTCGGCGTTCACCGGTGCGTGAACGAGCACATGGAGGGAGTTTGGTGCTGCTTCGGCTTCGCTTGCCGCGCGCGGGGATATGTGGCGATGCTGGCCTACTGAGGCTGGATACGGCTAGCAGCTCTATCTTCTGTTGTGCCGATCACGCAGTGCGGTGGCAAAGTTAGTTGCCGTATCAAACAGACCTACAGACAAGCAACTCCGTCGAGAGAATTTCTTCTTGGACTCTGGTACTGGTGTGCTGTGCAAACCTTCTATCCGCGCTACTGCTAGGTGCGTCGAGCAAAAATCTGGTGAGAGAAGCTTCCATTGATTGAGCCAAGTGTGTTCGTGTTGAGTGAGGCCATGAAGGCCAGCACCCACGATGTACGAAGTCAAGATGCTGGTTTACAAAATCTCTGTATGAATCGTGCACGTCGGCACTAGTGTGTTGAACGGTAGCCTAGTGTGAGTGTAAATGTTGGGGTTTGGTTACTGTCGGCAGGCACGCATCGGTGCGACTTGTGTTGTTCTTTTGCATAGGAGCTTGATCAAGTTGATGTCCGTGAAGGAGAGCGTGAACCCTGTGTCTGTGGAGTTTGGGGCGTTGTATGAAGATTTTGTCGGTGCAATGAATTATGTCCTTTACGTGTTTAGGTGGCGAGTTAGGGAATAGGGTTGTTGAGTGAGTGTCGAAGATTTTCTCAGGTCACGGTGTTTGCGGCCGTGACGTGATCACCACCATCGTTGATCCCTGGTGATGGAGAATTGTGTGGCCTACCGCCCATGGCTATTTTGTGACATTGTCGGAGTCGGAGCACATATTTGGTGTTCCTGCTGGTGGGTGGTGTTAGTGGACCTGTCTGTCAATAGACAATACGTCGTTTCTGTGCACGTTGACAGAACTATTTTTTACTTTTTATCTGTCGATGTCAAAGAAGACGAGACAACTACTAGTACAGTAGTACCTACTAAGGCTAGCTGTGTAGTGTGTGAGTGTGGGTTTTGGTAGTGTGACTGATTCTGTGTGGATCTGCCTGTACTGCAGAGTGTAGTCTACTCACGCAGGAATACGATACCGTGATTATGACATTAGTATTTAGTGCCGCGGTGCCTAGCTGTACAGTGATGCAATCGCTAGTATCTGATAGTTGTGCTAAGCTCGACCACAAGTACACACAACTCCACAAGTGATTGCTCTAAGATTATCATAAAAATTAATAGTAGGACTGCTGACATTGCCTGTGACACATGACTTTCTTGAAGTTAGTTGTGTTGTTTCCTTGCGCCTATCTCATGGAGTCTTACAGAATCAATATGCAGTGTATCATCTGTGTGTGCATGTGTGTACTGATTGCAGTGTGTAGTGTCATACAGTCATGTATCACAGCTCAGGAAAAAATACAGGACCAAGATCTGATTTCTAACTGTTATCATGAATTAAAACCCTCTGTGCTGTTGTTTGTGGATACGCCGCTTGTTGCTGTTGTTTGTGGATACGCCGCTTGTTGCTGTTGACCATACCAGGGCCAGTACGAATCGGAAGGCACGGGAAACGGCCGCATTGGAGCTGACGTTCCACGAGAGCAACCTCGAGCGGCTGCAAGCACAGCTTTCTCAGCTGAATTGTGCAGTCACTATTTATCAACACGATGGGTAAGATAAGGGGTGGACTCGAGCTGGAATTTGCCATAGCAACCTTTCAAATTATGGTTGCTAGTACGATACACTTTATGGTAACTGATCCAAGTGATTGTCAGTAGAATTAAAAAACTTTGCCACGCTTGAAAGATCCTCAGACCTCAAACTCGGAGAGGTTTCTGCACTCGCATAATTGGGGCGACTGGGGCAACATACACAGGCTCTCAGTGAACACACTATGACAATAATGTGCGTGTGTGCGTGTGTTGTGTATGTCTGTGTGTCTGGGTGTGTGTCTGCACGCACATTCCTGTGTGTGCAGTAATAAAGAGACACGAGTGCCAATGATTTGCTTAGGACTGAAGGAGACGGATCCAGTGGACCTGATCCTACCACTGGAGGTGAGTGTACAGGGCATCAATGATCATGGCCTAGCTACGGTATTGCCTCTCTGTAGTATTGAATGTATTGTATTTCCTTGTTACCGGTATTAGGGGGCCTACCCGTTGGAGTGTGCGAAGTAAAATTAACAACAATAACAATGACAACAACAACAACAACAACGACGACGACGACGACGACAACGACAACTATCGTGAGAATAAAGATTTGAAACAACAACAACAACAACAACAACAACAACAACAACAACAACAACAACAACAACAACAACAACAACAACAACAACAACAACAACAACAACAACAACAGCAACAACAATAAATACGGCTGGTGCATGACACTATGGTGGATATATTGCAGTGCACATGTGATTTTAGATTACTTCCCGCCTATGGTCCCCTATGTTCTCTATGTTGCTTAGATACCGGTGTTGAATCATGATGCATGCATTGGAATTATAGCGTGCTGTATGTCAAGATCTGAGAGTGATGCTTTGCGAATTTGTGACTATGGCTTTTACTTGTATGTTGGCTGAAAGAGGAACACCAAATGCATAAGATGGGGTGTGTGACAATACATCACATGGGATAGCTATATCTACCCATTGCAAGGATCACTTGGTTACATAGCCCCATAGTCAACCCAGTTGTCTTGTGATAGCTCTGAAGGACAGAGCTCTACATTCCTATGAGTGTGAGGGTTGTGTAATGTTACATCATACGGGGTGCGGGCCACCTTGGGAGATCCCTTTTGACAATCACATACAGTAAAACCTGTGACTACCGACCACCCCTTGGTGCCAGCAAAAGCGGTCGTTAATAGCAGGTGGTCTTTAGTTAGAGGTTTGCACCATGCGACCATATATGGATCCCATTATATGATATGTATATCAAAATGCAGCTAATACAATTCCCCAAGACTTGCGCAATGCCATTCTTATTTCAGGTTAAACAACACTTGGAGAGAAAGACGGAGAGATGGAGAGAGACAGAGAGAGAAGATTAATTTTTTTGCGGACATCAAATTCAGCTCCTACTTCTGAAGCCAGGAGTCAAACGTTCCCTGTGGAAGTTTCATTTTGTGCTGGGCTTCAAATTTGTTCATGCGATCAATTGTACCGACTGTCCTTGTTGCGACTTCTCGATTGCTTGAACGCGATTCTCCAGCATCAGGACCTTGCGGTGCTGCTTTGTTTCTGGATTCCTTGATGCCATCGTCGATTCGTCTGTATGACTGGGGTGACAGAGCTGCTCAGTCTTCGTTTCTCCTCCGATTAGTAACATCGATCAGAGAGCGCTTTCGATACCCTCTCCAAGACGTTTAATATCATGTTTATTCTTGGCAGCGCTTGAAATTCTGACAGGTGTAGTGAAGTCCACACCGACTCCACAGTCAAAAATAACCTGCGTTCATTTCTTCAGCTGTAGTATCGAAAGATGCCTTTCAGGACCACGGAAAATCATCAAAATTTCAAGAAAGAGCTTCGAACAACATTTGATTTCCTACATCGCGGTCGCTAGTTACGGGTCAAAAATCGTCTTGGGACAAGAAAAGGCGGTCGCTGGTCGCGTTCAGCAGGTAGTCGCTAGTCACAGTGCATTTTGAATGTGAGGCCGTCCGTGCCTGGCGAAGTGGTCTGCAGTAGCAGGCTGGTCGCTAGTCACGGTGCCGGTCTTTAGTTACAGGTTTTACTGTAGTTGCATTGCTCCAGTTCAAGAGTTATAATCTGCAGGACACGGTTGCTCACACAGCTCTTGCCTGAACTATACAAGCTAGGTCCTGACACATGCAGCCACTCCCCATAAACCTGCTTTTAGAAGACGGTGCCTGGTACATTTCTCGGTTTTACCATGAACTGGTATGGCACTGGAATGTGACAGAGTTTCTCTTCTGCTTCTGGCTCATGTGTTTGTTGTTGTTGTTGTTGTATGCAGCGCTTCCTTCAACGCCATTATCATGTGGAACCCTCTCATTATGAGGATGCCCTCACGGAGCTTGCCAGCATGCGGCAGGTAAGAATCAAGCCTGTCGCTAATAGCAATTGGAGGGGAACACTGCACTTCGTATTGTGGCGCTATGTAGGTATTTGCGTGCACTTGACTGCAAAGTATTGTCTTTCTGCGTTTGATCGAGCAGCTTATCAACCACAAGTCCATTGCCTGCACTGATGTAGTGCGATGACAGAAATATCTGCTAGTGCCTCTGTGGCGCGTGTGTACAACACGCCTCAATGCATGCCTTTCACCTGCACGTGCACTCACAACTTTACCTTTGCATTGGTTACAATTGCTGGAGCTTGTCGCGGGTACTACATGTATGTAGGCTGTCCGCACACCGAAACGCAACGAGGAAGGCCTCGGCTTGCTGATCGACTACGTCAAGCAGCTCTACTTTGTGGAGAGAAGGTTCTTCCGATCGCAGAAGCACGGTATAGTGTTTCAATGGTGAGTGATGCTGGCCACTTGCATTGTCAATGCTCGGCTTGCTTACCTCACTGGCATAGCTGTACTGTAGACAGTGATTAAACCTGGCTTATCCAGACCTCATTTGCCACGCCCCTGGATATCTGCAACCTCAGTTTTCTGTTTGTGGCAATTTCAGCATCTATGCAAGTACTAGCAGTAGACAAGAAGTATCCAGGGAAAGAATTCAGCTACTCCTACTCCAATGATTTGGGATAAGGGTTGGTGTTGGATTATCCTAAAGCATTATCCTGAGTCCCTGACCAAGGGTGTCCGGATACATGAGGTTTCGCTGTACTTTACTTGTACAGGCAGACCTCGCTCAACCGCACACATCCGTTTTCCACGAAATATCCGGATAGGCGAGGGATCCGGGTACTCGAACACACATACCGTATGTATGCGTGGAATATGCTGTAAATCGATAACCAACAATTGTCTTCCGGATGGCGAGGGATCCGGATAAAACAGGACCGGATACGCGAGGTCTGACTGTACATGTAGTAGCATGTGACAATGCTAGGTGGCATTTAACCATTAGGGCCCGTATTCTTGAATGGGGGCGTATGACTAAGTTTGATGTAGATTGGTGGAGTAAGGCGTTTGGAAGTCTTCCTTAATTTGGTAAGCATGGAATGATTTGTGGGTGCTCGAGCTCAGAGAGAACCGGACATACATCATCAGATATATAAATTGACTGCAATGGTGTTGGAGTGGCTGACCGCGTTGCATATGCATGTACATTAGCAGCCGTTCATTGGTGCGTGCAATGGCTGTGGCTGTCAGGATTTGTGTATTGACCCTGGACAGTGCCCCTGAACCTCTGTTTATACCTCTTTATGTATTTCCTTTGGGTGTACTGTGTGTAGGTATGACTCTATTCAAGGTCTTCCCACTGCCCAGCAATCAATAACATTTGAAAAGGTACTTGTACTTGGTAACGCCTTCTGCCTACTTGTGAAAGCGTGTTTGCATCCTAAGCACTTTGATTACTGTAATGCCGCAAAGGACACATTATGTTGCATGTGTCCGATTTTCTTTGTCATGTGCACATTGACGAGATTCTGCCGCATGGTTTCAAGTAAGATATGCAACTATTAAAGATTGGTAATGCTGGCCTGTGTGATTTAGGCATCCGTCATCTTCAACGTCGCAGTGCTTCACAGTCAATTTGCAGCAAAGCAGGTGAGCTCGAACTACATTATTGTAATTGTTGTAAATACTTTAGTAGCACTTTGTGCACAGTCTGGTAAGGTTCAACTGAGTGAAATACGTTACTACTGGGTGTACGGCAAGGGGGAGTGGTGAGGTGGTCACTGAAAGAAGCTTGCTTTGCTACGATCCATGCATGTTTAACCTACATGTACTTGAATTCTGGTTAGTCCGACTTTGCAGTCATTGTGCATCATTGGATCTCTGTGTACATTTCTGTAGACACTCGCCTGGGCTAGGAGTGTATCAAAGAATCAACTTTGACACTATTTTGCGACAAAACTTGACTAGGCTGTGTTTAAATTAAGTCCTATGTACTTCTGTGTGTCCTTGTTTCAGGACCGGAGCACTTCTGCCGGTGTAGAAAAGGCAGTGGAGGAATTTGAAAAAGCTGCCGGTAAGAATATCATGTGGCAGTAGTACATAGGATATTACCGTAAAGTACCGTTGATCCGGCCCCTCTCTAGTTCAACGGTACTTTACGGTAATTTAAGTCAGCACTTGCTTTGCATTTACAACGTCAGATGGTGTGGTGATGCACTTCTATTTTGGATGGAAAGCTGAAGCTAGGCGGACGTTGTTGCAGGCAAGGATTGGTGTGAGTATGCTATCAGTACTGATACACTGTAAACACTGTACACTATACCAATTGCCAGGTATAGCTGTGCTGTGTGGGGTATGGTGTTCCGTATGTTATTCTGTATGTTGTTATGTATTCTGCTCTGTGTATCTGTGTCACCGTTTCTCATCTCGGCCGTGTTCATTGCAGGCATGTTTGACTACTTGAACGAGAAGTTCTACAACGCACCTAGCCCCGACATGGCGCCGGACACTCTGCAGATGCTCTCTGCTCTCATGTTGGTCAGTGCCGCTTGCTTCTTTTTCAGTGGCCGATTGCTTGTACAGCCTGGTGCAGATAGATTCTCGGACAGTAGCCTGTGACAGCTCACCTACATGTACATTGTACATGTATATAACTATGCAATGAGAAAATAGCCGCCAGGTTACACTCTCAGTTGGCTCTCTTGCTGACGTATGAATGTGCTGCATGTGATCAACTTCTCATCTTGTCTTTCAGGCTCAGGCCCAGGAATGCCTGTTTGAGAGGAGAAGTCTGGACACGGAGGTGCTGGAAGGTGGAGTGGAGTTGGCGATTGAGCTAGCGCAAGAAACAGCACGGGTAAGAGAGTACATTATGGACATGATGCACAATTGACAGCACTGCATGTCATGTGCAGTATGCCTTGTTTGGGTACCGGGTCGCAGTAAGAGCAAGAACAGGACGTTCTGTTCCTTCCCTCTTGGATGTGGCTTTACCAAATATCCATCTTCCCCACTCATATGGAACCGGGCCTACAAATAATTACAAGGGCATTTTGCCGTCTTCCATGTGAATTCATTTTGCAACTAAAAGATATGACGTCCCCGTCTATTGTAATGATTATGTAAAAAGTCTGACCAAGTATGGTATAGCATGCTTGAACAGCATTGAAGTTACATTATCCACTTTGATCTGCCTACAGTATTAGTGCATGATGTGAGTTGATCAGTTTCTCTAAGTATTCAGCCTATAACTTACACCCACCCACACCAATTATGAAGTTTACTGGCCAGGACAGGAAGCAAGTACTAGTACCTGAATGCCCTGCAGTTTGGTTGAATAATGTGTCTGCTGTTGCTGTTTTACGTGTATGCAGGTTGCAGATCTGTACGAGAAGACACACCAGAGCATGGGGACATCGCCATTCAAGGGATATATTACAAGGTCCTGGGTCACACTGGCCAAGGTTGGTGGAATCTCTGTATTATCACTTTACAGTCATGATGTCACCTGTGTTTAAAACAGCAATGTGCCGAGGTTGAAAGCTGGTGTGTGCTGGTGGGAATGCTGTGCTACTGGTCACGGCTTGTTTTGACGGAGAACAAGATTAAAACACTATAAAATGTGCTTGACATTGTTTAGATATATCTGAGGATTTCCCAAAGACAAAGTCTTATTGAAAGGAGTTCCATCTTGTGTGCGGTTCTGTGTTGGTTCAATCTTCAGGCGAAAGACTTCCATTTCCGTGCATTGTCACGGTACTACACCGCAGCCGCTCACTTGGACTTTGCTGGTAAGCTTGCACGTGCACACACACACACACACACGGACACACACACACACGCACACACACACACACACACACTGACACACACCCTTGTCTTCAGTTGACAGGCTTTCATGGTATTTTACCACTGTCTCTACTTTGTGTCAATAGATGAAACAGACCTAACTGGTGAAGAGATCGGATCAATGCGAGATCAGTTACATCACATGCTGGCAAATAATATCCGAGCCGAGATGCGGCCAATTATGTCCGTCGATGATCAGATTGACAGAGGTGAGGTTACTACCGTGGTACATAATCATTATGCAGATGTGGTGCTGCAAGTAGAAGTACCCCTTGGTCGCAAGAAGGCATTCCCGTGATTGTACAGACTGGGAGTGATGACATATTGGAGCATGCAGATGTATGCATGGTGTACCTACAATGTTGGTGAATGGAGACGAAGGGGGAGTTCTGTTTAAGGCCATGGTGGAGTCTGAAATAGTGTACCGTGTACATGTATTGGCGTGCTCCTGTCTTCATCTGGACTGCTGATGCTGCGCTTTGGATTGCCACGGTTTGTGTTGCTTCTACAGGTGTTGGTCATCTGCAATCATCCATTCTACTGCATCGAGATGCACTACGGCTGCTAAGAAGTGACAGTGAGCTGAAGAAACTGGACACTCTCATTCAGGTAAGCGGTATCCTAGCCTGCGTCCATGACTGTAACTGTTATGTATGATGCGTGTAGTGAGGTGGGGTGGGGGAGGGGATTTGACAGCAATATCTTACTTGTATCAGGCTTAAGTTATGCTGGAAGAAGGTCACTTAGGTCCTTCCCATTGGTAAGGAATGGTATGCAAGAGGACAGGTACATGCAGAGCAGGCACAGCAGAAGCAATGGCCGGGGGAGAAAACAGAGAATGTACTCTTGGGGATAAACCGGTAAAGTTATGCCCAGGTAGTTGCAACACTGGCAAGTCGGAAGAAAAGTGTACTTCAGTCTATCACAATAACCAATAGGCAACCATCATCCACAGTAGGGGTGCATGGCACGGAACGATTATGAAGACCGCACATCAAAAGGTCTATTGAAGTAAAGGTGGGCGCATGGCACTGATGACTTACAACTTGTAAGTAGTGCGTGGGGCTTGAACAACAGGGTAACAAGTTACTCCATGTACTAGGAATGTAGTGAGGTGTAGTGCATGGGACTATGCAGGGTGTGGCAGGTGAAGCAAGACAGCATGAGCATGATCACTGAAGAAGTAACACTGCCAGATAACAGGTTGACCCTAGCTCTGTGGGGATACGACAGTTTACGTAGTGTCCTTTTCCCCTATTGTTTAGGCATTATTCAAGTGTTGTCACCCCCTTTAAACATAAACACTGTGATTCGTGCACGATATGCTGTGTGCAGGTATTCTACCAAGATCAGCAGATGGCACTGAACAAGCAAGGTGAATTACAGCAGCAAGGAAACATCGACCTCTCGCCCAGGTTCAACACAGCTGCCGAGGCGCCACGGATCGATGGTATGCACAGCTCACAGCTTTTTTCCTGCAAGACGCACTGTGACACATTTGAAGGGATACGATGTTATTTGTTCTGTCACTGCTGTATACTCGGCAATGGGTGATGTAGAGCATGTATGCCTGTCTGTTGTTGCACTATGTTCTCTGTACAGGCATAGCTCCGAGGGAGTCTGCACCACGCAATGTTGATGTGTTCGGCACCAGTCCAGACTCGGATGACTTCTTCCACACTCTAGTATGTTTTGCTGTGGGTATGAATGACTTGATAGTTGATACACATCATTGTGACCTATGCTCCCCTAACAATAGCTAGCAGAAAAGGGAAATCCCCGCACTCACGGCTAGCTGCTCATCCTCAGAGCTCGAACTTGCCATGACGATTGTTGTGAGCTCTTTATCTCAACACCCGTTGATCATAGTGCTTTGCCGATTATTCATGCGGATTGCTGGGTATTTTCTCTCCTAACAATTATTTTGATCAATCAAATTTGACCAAGTGTTGATGGGGGTTATGACGATTTAAAACTTTGCACTGCTGAACCGATCGGTTTAAGAAATTATCAATGTTCCAATAGTGATCAGCATGTTATGGCTGTAGCATGATGACATTGTATTGTATTGTTGTATGGGACAGGTAATGGGGTACACTGGCAACTCAAACTTCTCGACATCGTCGAAAGCAATATCCCGAACAGATGAGGGAAGAGCATCAGCTCATTCAGCTTGGATTGTCTGATGATCGTGCAGTGACAATTATTGCTTTAGAGATCAGCTAGAACCGAGCAGGCTTGTATTTCAAAGTACTGGATATTGACTTTTACTCGGTTTGCTTCAGAAGCGTTTGTCATGGGTGTCTTGTACGTCACATCGAGCAAAAAAAACCGAAAGCAGTGTTCTGCATACTCCTTATCTGCAGTGTTCTGCATGATCCTTATCTGCAGTGTTCTGCATGCTCCTTATCTTCTGTTGTTTCTGCAATAGGGCCCATTGTCTTTGTTTAGCTCGGCGAATGATTGGACTGCGCCACGCTCGGCCGATGTGGAGCGTACAGATGCCGGGTTTGGCTTTGCAATCCGTGGCAATGCGCCCGTTTTGATCTGCAGTGTTGACAAAGGAAGCCCTGCTGAGGTAAGGCACTGGCGTGCCCGTACTGAGGGATACAGTGTAATTTACGGTGTTCTTCTCTTGTCCTCTTAATGGTGTACACTTGACTAGTTGTGGATAGGATACGTTGTGTACACTGGTACATTTGCCGAATGATTTAAAAAATAATTATCTCTCTCTTTCTCTCTCTCTCTCGCTCTTTGTTCAGCTTGCGCATGTTCAGAAAGATGACGTTGTAATGGCCGTGAATGGTCACCCCACGCTGTGGAGCACGCATGGTGAAGTCGTGGACTTAGTAAAGAAGTCGGGTTCACTAGTGCAGCTCGCGCTAGTATCTTTCACTCGGGTCAGACGCTCGAATGTCCTACCACCGACGCGTGGTGACGAGCAGCCAGCTCCCTCGTCGTCGTCCAAGAAGCCAGAGAGCAATGGCGGTTCGAATATGTCTTCCACAATGGAAGATGCAATGCAGTATTGAAGCTGCGGTGTGTGTGTGTGTGTGTGTGTGTGCATGTGTGTGTGTGTGTGTGTGTGTGTGTGCGTGCGTGCGTGCGTGTGTGCACGTGAGGGAGCAGGAGCAAGTGCTCTCGAAAAGAAACTGAGCAGGTTTATGCAGTGTCTTGAAATTTTGCATTGCGCTTGTCAGCCATAGGAATTTTTGAACCATGACACCAAAGTGCAGTTGATGATAATGTAATTCATACCTCAAACTAGTGATAGGCACACTGAGAGATAATGGCAGCATTCCACTCACTCACCATTCATTCACAGTCAGTCGAATACGTGATAGCCAGTGCCAACTTCTACCAGTATTGGTTTTCATGCACATTGGTTGAGCATAGCGTATTAATGCCCTGCAGCCTTGTTTAGAGTCGATATCGGCATGTTTTGATGCTGACCTATGGCTGTTCAGTGTGTTGCTAGTACCCAAGGCCTGGCTATTCCCAGCCTTGTACATTATTGCTACTACTGCTGCTAGTACCCAAGGCCTGGCTATTCCCAGCCTTGTACATTATTGCTACTGCTGCTGGACCGGCACCTATAACTGTGTAGTATGGTAACTGAATCCCCCCTCGACACCCTCCTTCTTTCTATACTGTACTTAGTCTGAAGGTCATGGTGATTTCCTGCACCGCCGCTCCTTGGCGTGGTGTTGTGTTTCACACAGCCGCGACTGACTCACACGTACACGTGTATATATCTCAACTGGCTTATCTGACCCCCTCACTTTAGCTGATTGAGTATTACAACCACATGCACTTACACGATTTGATCCGCCTGTTGCGTGTATAGTTTCCGCTAGGCGTTGCGCTGCATTCAGCCATTGTTCGAAGTAACTTTTAATTATGATCATCTCTATTGCAAAGTGGCAGTTTTGCAAATATGCCTCTGGGTAGCCATGTTTCCTGCTCCTATTTGGTAGCTTGTGTGTGTGTGTGTGCGCACGCACGCGTACATGCGTGTGTATAATTGGGAATTTGCCTGGCGTACTTCAACAACCGTGGCAGAATTAGAGAACTTCTACAAAAAAAACAATGCAGTATTGTCCGAGCCGAAAGGCCGATTCATACTTCATGTCGCGTACGGGAAACGCGTTGCGTCGCGAAAAAGTTGATCTGAGCTCAACTATTTCCCGGACGCGAGATGAAGTATGAATCAGGCTTTAGAAGAGAAAGGATGTACTTCGAAGTACACCCCCACGCGGTATGCTTCATTTTGCGTAGCATGACCAATCTACAATGTATGTGGCAAAATGAGGCGCATTCCTGCACAGGATAGCAACATACATGTACGTGCTAGAAAAATCCTACCCATACAAGAACATACTAAGTACCATGGTGACACACAACTGCATGCATGCTGCTTCTTACCCTTTCGTATATTATGCGTATGGCAGAATTCGGAGGTCATAGAAGACTAGCCCTTACATGACTCCCTGGTCAGGGCGCATTCACTATTCCCGCTGTGTGATAGAGATAGATAGAGAAAAGCAAGCACGGATCAGAAGTAACGTTAGTTTCAAGGAAAGCACGGGAAATTGTGCGCGGGGAGGGGGGGGGGGCGTGATAGATCATTATGGGTTTTGGAAATGTTCCACCAAAATCTGCGCAAAAACAAACAAAAAAACAGCTCGGAATAATGCTACTGCTACAAAAAAACAGCCGGGATAACAAACTAAACTGGTACTGGTGGTGCAAGCAAACATTCAGTGTTAAAAGTACAGGAATCACAATGACAAATCATCGATCTGATCGCAGTGAGAAAAAAAACTCAAAAAGGAAACATGACAAAATACCAGGTGAGACAGAACTGCTAGCAGCAGACAATGCCACCTTGGACGAATGCCTGTTGAGTGAGACGGCGGCGGCGGCGGTGTGATAAGGCACGGTTAGCTTAGAGGTAAAATCAGACTGGAAACTGCAACTGCGCGCTTGACGGAGGCAGCGGGGATATGGGTTGAGGTATTGAATGCTGCGGGTGCGATAATGACCGGCAGTATAGGACTAGCGTTGTGTGCTTCAAAATATAGAATCAATAATTAATATTTAATAATATGAAATGATCCCCGCACGAGAAAATAGTCGGTGCACAAGGTGGCAATAAGTACGGCCATCCACGGCATTATTATGACAGCTACGAGTAGAAATCGGTGAATAGGGTATCCGGGGAGACGTAGCGGGTTGGCTTGAAATTTTAGATAAAATTGAAAATCAAACATGTACTCCAGCATTAGAGTGGACATGAATACGCTAATGACAGCTAGTGACAACAGCTAGTGACAGTAAGCAATACACTTCTGTCAGTGGGAAGAAGAGAACAGCATTGTGCCACACCTCAGCTTCTGGTTGGGCAACATACAAACATATACAGGAATTCAAAAAAAAAAGGAAAACAAAGATAGAAGAGCATACGTGGTGCACAAAGGAAGTGCCTAGATACTCCTCAGTCAGTGATGCCGAAGTTCACCGGAGCAGCGCTGTAGGTACACTGACAAAAAGCCCGGAACAATCAGCCGGCACTGTGTGAATTCTAGCCTAGAAGTGCGATGACCGTACTGCTCACTACCATGCAGAGATCAAACCAGCATTAGCACACACACATGCGCAGTGCAGCTAGCGTCATGGACGAGTCGATGACAAAGACAGGAAACACTGATTGCCTGCTGCCTACCAGTGGCTGCAGACTTAGAAGAGCTGCCACCATCGCTGGTTCTGGTATTTCTCGGCGAGAAGCCGGGCATTTCGAGCATACTCCGAAGCATTCTCTGACATCTTCTCTGTCTTGAGACCAAGGTCGTTTAGTTTCTCGCCTCGTTCATCAAGATTCTGCAAAAGAAAAAGCACAGTCCCCGATACAATACAAGATTCGGCGTGAGAAAAAGCCGCGTTTAAAAAATACTTCATTGTACATGCAGCACTGAGCATGCAGAACTGAGACTGAGAGGCAGTTCAACACACAGTTCCACCCAACGCCAATATGCTCCGACTACAAAAGACAGTTGCAGCAGACAACTGACATCTGAAGCGCAAATAAAGAGTAAACACAAAATTCCCTGAACTAGTGAATATAAAATGTATACGTCCGACAAGTATGTTCTTTAATAACATTGCAAAATACTCCTTTATACTAAAGAAGAAAGCAAGTACAGGGTTATGCTATGCACCCACCTGCCGTGCCCGGGAGAAGACGTCATTAGAGTGAGCAACTTCGCCCTTCAACTTGTCCAAACTTCCCGGCTGTCGCGTAGCAACAGCCTGCGATGCCACACCACTGTGGTCCTTGCCGACTGGATGCAGCGAGACATAGAGCAGAGCACACGCATAACAATAAGAAAACCACTAGCAGCATACACTTCTGAATACGACATCGTCATAGGCGTGCATCTATGACAATAGAGTCAGTGCTTTCAAGAAAACATTGTGTGCATCACAATGATTGTTGACTATTGTATTGCAAGGACCAGCGTCAGAGAAATCTCACATTTACATCATTGTCCTGTACTTCAATGTGAAGAAGAGGTTGGTGCGACTTCGGCGATACTTATTGTACTTCATGGTCACAAACCAAAAAGATCTATCGTTTTTCAGTGGCACAGTGTTCTTGTCTTCAGGGTCGCACCAACCTCTTTCCTACCACTACACTGTGGTCTGGTCGTGCATCATTATAATGAACCTGGCATCATGCACGGAACACGATGAACACAAACTACTTATGCTGATCGAGTGTAGCAACTCACAGAGCTCATCTCGATCAAGCTGCTCAGGTGTGGATGAGAACAAGCTAGCAAACAGACCCTTCTCCTGCCTCTTCGGGAACTCCTTCTCTACATACGTAGCAGGCAGTGAACCAGGTAGCTTCAAGCTGAAGAAACAGCAGATGCAGAAGAGAAGAAGCAGCAACAGCAGGAACAAGCCGATGAGTGTAGCACCAGCAAATGCTTAAAAAAAAGGACAGGTCTACAAGTACAGCATATTACTAGTGTTAGGTTCTCACTCCCGTATACTCACGTACAAAAGCAATCGCACTCCAATGACCTCACACACCTTTTTCCCGCTCCCCGAACCGTTTGACCCGGCACTCACCCCGCTCTCTTTTGCCCTTTGCCGTTGAAAACAAGAAGTATATCAAAGTCATCTCGACCTCCTGTGAGCTGTGTGTCCAAGCTTAACACTACATGTAGCTACGCAGGCATAGGGAACCTACTCGCAGCTACAACTAGCATTTCAGCCTTGCCGTGTTGTTGCCTTGCCATATCCTACACACACACAACCCTGCAGTAATGTTAGCAAGCCATTCTTCCCTGAGCAGTACCGCTAGTCCTGGCTTTCCCTATAGTTTTCAGGAGCCTGTGGGCTCAATGATCTCCTTTAACACTTTGAGAGCCACATGAAGACTCGTATTCAGATTTTTTAGTTAACTTCAGTTCTAACCATAGCTCCTCGCAACACTCTCCAAGCGGTCTCAGGGCTATACCAATCACTGAAAAAGAATGAAGAATAAAACCATCCTAAGGTGTGAACAAGGACCACTTCCCTGAAGATGGGCAATGCCCGAAACTCGCACGTCATAAAATTGTATTCTTTGTTTTCCCCATCACGCGACCGTTGCGTACGCATTGCAAAGAGCGTCCTGTATGCCAAATGAAGTAAAAATCAGGCTTCACTCAAGTTGTGCTGCACCTGTGAAGTTGCTCAACTTTGCAGTTTGACTTGCGAGCAATTCATGTCAGGAACGGTTGTGCGCAACGCTTCGCGGGGTGTTCTTACTGAAAGCTGAGAATTTTCTCTCCGACTTTGATTAGTCATGAAGTTGAAGTCGCAACTTCTAAGTTTGACTTTGATTAGAATCATTAAATTGAGCCCGTTTCGACAGAGTTACGATCTGTTGAGGTTTTGAACACAAAGTTACTGTTCACGACTCATACCTTACTCGTTAGGATAGAAGCCAGGAACTTTATTTTTTCAATCCCAATTTTGAGGAGGCTTCTATTCAAGAGGGAATTTTATTATTCCAATCCAAACCAGTATTCCAATCGAATCCTTAAAGCTAAAGCAACTAAGCTCTGAGCCAGTTTGCACATGCTACGCCGACCCAGACATGTACATGTACAGGTACGTACAAGTACATGTATATACATGAGATGTACGCCATTGACCTCACCATACATGGCACTACCTGGTCAGCCCAGGCTTTGAGAAAAGTAGTCTGGGCTTCTATTCAAGAGGGGCTTGTATTTTTTCGAACGGTCATTGTAGGGGGGCTATTATTCAAGAGGGGCTTCTAATCGAGTAATTACGGTATAAGTATGGGCGTTTCTCAGAGGGGTAATTTAAAAGATGGGGACAAAAGGAGTAGGCTAGAGCCCCCCCCCCCCACACACACACACCAACCCCAACCTTACCCCTACTCTTCCATTGCTAAGGAGTAAAGACACATAAGAAGAACTTACACATTTTCCTTCACCATGCACAGGCGCTGGATTTCCGTTGAAGAAGGCATGTACAGGATTTGTCCGCCATTGGCCCATGCAAATGAACGCACCGTTCTGCAATGCATGTGCAGCAACAGATGTGGAAGAACAACGATGAATACATAATAATACAAACAATCTATAAGTCAAATCAAAAACCATTTGCAAGACAAGATGACTGTAATTGTTAGGTCTAAATCTGATTACAGTCCATTTCAAAACTATAGATGCGTACCTAGGCAAAAACCGTTATGCCAGCATCTATACCACATAAAATCTGTGATCACTTTGTGCATAAATTTTTCCAAATTGGGCGTCTGTTATCCAATCGTTTAGAAACTATATGAGAGTAATTGTGGAGCGGTCCTGAGCAATATTCCGAACACTATTCTCAAAAAGTTCCAGCCAAATTTGAAATATTTCAAAAACCCTACGCGTCTCTAGTTTTGAAATGGACTGTAGAGGACTGTCGGGAGCCGGAGAACGACTGGCTAGGATTTCACCAAGCACAGCAAACCGATGTATACACGGCAACTCAGCACAAAAATAAGAACTGCCTCGGCTATCGGGCTGACACCCCCACCACTGAGCCGAGTCTGTCAGGATAAAATAAGATTTGGTAACCACTCCACAGGGAACTAAGCTGGGCAATCAACTCCAGTGGACGTAGCTAGCATTACCTGACATCCACACCGCCGGGCAGATCGATAGGTGCATCCAGCAGTGGTGTCATACTGGGCAGGCTGTATGCTAGCAATCGGCCGTCCAGGGTCAGGGCTGACAAACATGCTGACCCTACGCATGATGCACAACAACACCAGTCAACACAGAACATAGAAGAACAAGAAAACATCACCATTGACTGTCCGAGAGTAAAGCCTCAGTTACACCAAGAGACACCCAGTCAAACGGTCACGACGCAATGAATATCTGCTTGAATTTATACAAGGAGATGGAGTTACACCTGAAAGGAAAACTTGAGTCGACTTACTCTCGCAACCCCATTACTACTTCTACAAGTACTTTGAAGTAAATTCATTGCAAATGAAGTAAAACTTGTAAAGGCGACCACTCGGATATGGTGACCACTTTTCGCGTTAGTGGCAAGGAAAATTTCCTTGTCACGAACGCGTCCCCAGTCAAAACAAGGTACACGATCATCAGACAACAGTAGTGAGAATAATCTGGATGCTGATATTGTGCACATGCGGCACCCGCTTACCGTTGATATCAACAATAGCTGACTTGACCACGTAGGTTGCCTCCGGGTATTTGTGGGTCTCACGACCACTCGACGGCAAAGCGTAAACCTACATGTAGTCACCAGCAGAGGACACAGTCATGCTCAGCTACATGTAACAGCAAACTGAGATGTGTAGTAAGGTCAACAAGAGTCTTCTCTAGATTAGAGATGTCGCATGCACCCAGCACTGTACACACGCACACACACTTGGACTTGTTGCTCACTGCCAAAACTGGTCACGTGGGTCTCCCCGGGAGAGGGGAGAGAGACTCAAAAGGAATCTTGGAAAGATGACTCAATTGGTTATTGAACCGCCCAACGGCCGACACCCCCTGAAATCCCCAAAACTCTGGGTGGACTTGAAAATGATCCCACTTATGGGCTCACCACACCTCAGTATGTGGGCGAGGACAAGGTGCAGAAAAAGGATTGACGGCATCAGGGTATCCGTCCCGGGATCCAACTGCAGTTACCACTGCCCCCAGTGGGGGTAATACTTGCTACTAGTGTGGGTGGCTAAGGGGTCGTCGCAAAAGTTTTCTGTCGTCCCTGAAACGAACATCGTTCATTTCGTACTTGGACCCCCTCCCCTCCCTCTGAAACGAACACAGCTTGCTATGCTGGACGACGAAAATCGCATGCATGTACATGTTATATGTACAGTGTCGGTCGACTTGCGATTTTGGCTCGCACCCCCTCCCCCCCAAATGAATCATGTTCGTTTCAGGGACGACAAAAAACATTTGCGACGACCCCTAAATCAAACCTACAATGCTACAGGTAGTCACCAGCAGAGGACACAGTCATGCTCAGCTACATGTAACAGCAAACTGAAATGTGTAGTAAGGTCAACAAAAGTCTCTCTCTCTCTCTCTCTCTCTCTCTCTCTCTCTCTCACACACACACACACACACACACACACACACACACACACACACACACACCATTTGACGCCCATCGCCGGAGGCGATGATAGCGATGCTACAGCCGAAGCCATAGCAGCTTGTGCTGGGATTGCACCATTCAACAGCTTGCAAGGCTGAAGAATTGACCGCCATTATTTAGCCTGGTCTACACCACACAGCTATGAAATGGCTTTTTCTGGCCAGTGAATCCCTACTTTTTGGCCTTTTTTCATTTTTTTCACACACACGCATGCACGCACATACATACACACAATGAACACCCCCAGTACTATATGCACTTGTGATATATCCAAATTTACTTCCTCCTCTCTCAGCTGTGTGACAGCGTCACTGGAGTGAATGCTGTGAGACCAGCTTCATCCTGTGCAAGCCTGATGAAAGAATACACGCTGGCATTAAATACACGAGGCTGCCACAGCCAATACAGTTCACTGATCAAGTGATAAAGTCTTACCCAACTGTGTTGATCAGAGCAGACAACTAGGAAGTGGAACTGATCTTTCTTGAACTCTTCTGTTGGCTTACCTGCATGTGAAACAAAAGACAGAAGGAAAGAATGAGGATAGTATGTATGTGTAGGTGTGTGTGTAGTAGTAGTAGTAGTAGTAGTAGTAGTAGTATTTATCTCTTTTATTGTGTGTGTGTTGTGTGTGTGTGTGTGTGTTGTGTGTGTGTGTGTATGTGTGTGTTGTGTGTGTGTGTGTGTTGTGTGTGTGTGTGTGTGTGTGTGTGTGTGTGTGTGTGTGTGTGTGTGTGTGTGTGAGAGAGAGAGAGAGAGAGAGAGAGAGAGAGAGAGAGAGAGAGAGAGAGAGAGAGAGAGAGAGAGAGAGAGAAAGAGAGAGGTGCAGACATTGCATGAGCTAGCAGTGATGGATGTCGCAAACCAAATTCTTACGTAAAGCATATTTACAACGGTTATACGCGTTGTCAGGTCGTGTCAATGCCGACCACAAGGACTCATTGCCGGCAGAACAAGCTATTTCCGGGCTGTCAAATCAGTACGCTCCAGAGTTGAGGCTGACTATGGCCGGAACGGATCTAACAGTATCTGGATGCCTGGAGATAGCGCGTGCCCTGCGTAGTGCTGAGAGAGATGCCAGCAGCAATACTGATGTTGTGGCTGCTGCAGCTACAGGTGGAGCAAGCCAGAAGACTGCTGCAGATTTTCTACGATTGTGGTGAAGTTGGCTACATCAGGAGGCACTGAACAAGAGTTCTTTTTGCTGTCAACATACATGTATGCAAGATCAGGTCGGCTATGCATTCACAACAAAAAAAACTTGCTCTTCACCTTCGAGATGAGCAATAAACTCCTCTTCCGCTGCATCCTGCTTAGAGGCTGATGTTAGCACTCGGCCATGCTGGTTCAGTACAGCCAGGTCGGTGATAGGCTCCTCTCGACACACTGGCATATACAGTGCTGCAAGAAAACATGGACAACAAGGGTGCAAACAATGCCTTTTTAAGGTACCTGGAAACTTAGGGTGCGTTCGAATTTTCTCTCGATTCTCGGAGAAATTTATCCTGGAAGTCGAAGAAACTGGAACAATTAATTTTAGGAACAGGTCTCGAAGATTTTGGACATCTTTTGCGCACGCGAAGCGCAAATGGGTGATCTTGAGTGACTTGAGGGACCTCAAATGTAGCACGCACTGTGCATAGCAAAAAGAGACGGGCCATGTGCTCATTATCAACACATGGCTTTTTGCAGTAGTTTGCATGCGCTGGCCCCAAAATACAGAAATCTCTAAAGTGTCTAAGACCTTTGAAGCTCGGAGAGTTTGGAGAGCTTTGGAGAATATCCAAAAATTCAGAGAGGATATAAGAACACCTCGCCAACTTTTCGGAGTCTCGAACTTTTTCGAGATTTTCAAAAAGGCCCGATTTTATAAAAATAAAAGTAAAGAAAAGGTCCAAAGAACTACAAGTTACGCCATAATGTCCACTAACACCACCAGTTACTCCAAGTTGGAAGGCTGTTGGAGTGCGCATCCAAGACGTGCTAGAGCTTATAGCCAGTTAGTTGTAGAACGTCAGTACTGTCGATCAGTTTAGTGAATGAGATAATCCTCAGGTTATTTAGAAATTGAAAGGTAGCCTCAACCAGTGAACAAGACTACACTCACCATGATAGTAGACACCCCATCCAGTACCCGCATTGGTGCCAGTTGATGATGCCGATGAGACGGAGGAGGGCGCCTGGTCGGTTGGCAGCGGCACCAGGCTGAGCGCATAGACCTGGCCGGTGGACGAGCCACACCACACGCTACAGTACAGATGCTGATCTGTCAGCACGCAACAATACACAAGAACGCACATTGAGTACCACATTGCAGTCAGCAACTGACCACTTTGGTCCTTGGTAAAGACTTCTCTAACCACTACAAGGCAACGGTGTAAAGCTAGTGTGTCGTTCCAATGACATACTGCACCAATTACAGCTAGTGTGTCGTTCCAATGATATACCGCACCGGTTACAGCTAGTGTGTCGTTCCTGCACTGAAGCGATTTAGTATTTCTAATCCTCTTTCATACATATACAGTAAACGAAAGAGAAGACTCTCAAAAAGATGCATGTGTGCATACACAGTAGAGCTAAAGATGTACGGCATTACATCAGGGGCGTAGGCGGGGGGGGGGGGGGGGTGCTTTGGGTGCCAAAGTACCCCCCTCAAAAATTTCGATCTTGGTTCGCAGCTGGTTCGAGAGAGACCATAATACGCAGGCCGCTGATCGCATGTGCAACTCTGCACATCGCATACTGTAGCCATCCCTGTTCAGACCAGTGAGTAGTAGGTATTCGACTACTCCCTGGTGCAGATCTACTCTGTGTACATGCTCCTGATTGCAGTTGACTATTTTGTCCGATGATTGGCCATTTTGCAACGAAACTTCTAGACAAGGGCAGCTCCGCTTCGTACCAGCCGTAGTGCAGTATCACGTCAGACCTCAGTAGACTCAGCACATGATTTGTATCGCACTCGGAACGTTTTGTTAGAAGAAAATAATCATACAAACACGCCATGGGTAAAAGTAGCAACAAGGTCTATGGAAAACAAACGTCAAACATAGCACTTTCTTCACGCTATGTTTTGTATTATGTAGTTCTGGCTGTTGAGTGGTCACAGTGTGGAAAGGCAAAGAAGTTTCTTTGTTTCATGTCTTGCAAGTGTGGGTACAGCAGCAGAAGAGTGAAAGTAACGTTGAAGTGCAGTTTGCGGTTTTTGTGGCTCATTATCAGTTGGAAGCAGGGAGCAGCAAAATACCTCATTACTACTGCTTTATTTCACACCCATGGCAGAGATCACGAAAGTTTCCAGATTGCAAAGGTGCCCCAGTTTACAGTACTCAGACAATGAACAGTCAGTCCTCAACGGTAAAACATTAAGGTGCAGCGATTGATTTGGCTGATGGTACGCTAGTAATAGATGCTCAGTCTTTATAGCAACGAACTAAGGATACAACATACAATTAACAAGTGCCTTAATTCTGCAACGTCAAAATGTGAACGGTGGGAAAAGTTATGCAAACTAGAGGTCACTTTTGGCGAGAAAATGGAGAAGATGCAGAGTTGTTCATACAGGGTTGGTATCAGGGAGTTGTAAATACGGTATTTTACTACTCCCTGGTTTTAAAGATATTTGCAAATGTACTGCCGCGGGAATCTCCCTGGAAACTGCACTCCATTGCAAGATGCAAATTGTGAAAAGTGGAACTTCGCCAACTTCCATGGAAGCATCCCCATGGGTCTGTACCGTGCCAGGCATTCTCTTGTCACAACTATCGAAAGTTGCCGGTCTCGAGCTGAGAATCATGCCTTAGACGTTCCATCTCGAACAAACACTTGTGTAAGGGTAGGGATCGTACAAAACAGGTTCTCAGAGCTTCTTGGCCAGCTATGGGAGATAATTATGTCATCGCATACATCCAAATTCATGCTGGCACTGGCTGTTTAAAGAGCATTTAGCAAGGAGTGAGTGAGAACCTACCTGTTGTCGACTGGTGAGAAAATGTCTCAGCAAGCAGCAGAGTCTGGCAGGCCGCCGGTGACAATGTCGGTACACTGCCACGAGCTGTTGCTGTTGCTCCGGCTTCTGCTGCTGCTGCTGCAGAAGGCAGTGTTGATACAGAGTCTTCCTGCTCCCCCTCTGATACTTGGTCCACATTATGCTCATAGTTCTTTGTACTCGACACTGGTGGGGCTTCTGCTGACTCTGGAGATGGCAAGTCAGTCTTCGACGACTTTCTCTTGCGACGCAGGAAGAACTTTGCACTCTTCCTCGCCACACTTTCAACATCAACAGATGCTAAACGGGGCACAGATGCTAAAGGACTCTTTGCACTCTTCTTCGGCACACCATCACCTTCAACAGATGGTGAACGGGGAACAGGACTCGTGCCACTCTTTGCACTCTTCTCAGCCTTTGCGCTCTTGTCAATCCTCGGTGTTTTCTCGGGATTTTCGGTCCTTTCCGACTTCTCGCTGCGCTCTGGCTTGTCACTGCGCTCGCCTCTCTCGATACAGAGCACATCTATACAGCAACATCCATAGCAAAGGAACAAAGCCTAGGATAGTGACAAGTGTCCACCAAAGCAGTATGTGAAGGTCTCACACTTGAAAGCACAGTGAAATACATCTTGATGCAACACGGACATAATAGTATGCCTTGAGGATAGTCTACATAGATCTAGTACAGTGCAGCATGGCTTGAGCCGGTTTAATGCTTTGTAGTTCACTAGACTTCATTGCAATCGGCTCGGCCAGTCACTCCGAGCTCCGCTGATGAAACCTAACAAGGTCTACACGAGACAACTAGCTGACCGGAGGTTGAGTAGAACGATTGAGTAGATCTACATGTACATGTAGTACTAGTAGTCTATTTAATCTCCACAGAACTCCAGTTGTGCCCCCACCACATCAATGCTAACACTGTGTGACTACTGACTATGCAATGGTAATACTGTAACCTACTACATTGGTGGACATGGTACTACGAAAGAAATCAGGAGAAGAGAGCTGCAGGACACCCATGTGCTAGGTCAATGATCACAGGCAACGCAACCATGTCCGCAGAACAACCAAACCAAGCTGAGACAACAAGCATACCTTTAAGACTGTCGAGACCGGAAGTGAGAATGACAGTCTGCCGTTGAATGTCGAAAACGCCAACACCATCCGCCGAGCCAATGGCCAGACTGCACACATAGCAAGCACGCATCAGTGTCCGTCAACACAAACCCCATGCCTATTCTACAGTAAAAGTAAACTGCATGTGAACATGGTGCGGTGGTAGAAGCAGTAGCAGCAGCTGCAGTGCTTAACAGTGTCGGTGTGTGGGGAGCGAGGGAATTACACTACAGTATAGTCTCAGAGTGTCATGGCCATAAATCACCTATGATTCTAAACTGGCATTACAGGCCTTTATATAGCTATTTTAAAACAAGAAAGAATCGGGAGGAAGACAACTCATCCACGGACTTACATTCCATGAGCAATGTCGGTGGCAACTGAAGTCAGTCCACAAGAAGACACGGACCCAGTGACAGCATCGCAACACTGCACGCACACAATCGGGTGATAGCCGCACGCTTGCTGCTCCACGGCCAGGTTACGGCAACGCCACGGCACCAGGCACGTGCTAGCCGAACGCGCCACATATCCCACGGATTCAGGATCAGCAGCAGCAGCAGCAGCAGCAGCAGCATCCTCGGGTATGGTCTCAACTGCAGGATGCTCTGATCCCGCGACCGATGATGGTGCTGTATCAAGGGACTTCACTGGATTCGGACAGTGGGGATTTGCCAAGCTCACAAGGATTTCCTGAAAATACAGAACAGAACATGAAATGGCATACATGACATAAAGAGAGTTTCTTGAATGGTTGTTTGCTAATTCTGAAAAGCACATTGCATTCCACTGTATAAAAGACTATGTAATTATGCAGTGCTTAACTATATCAGAAGTCAACTGGATGTGAGGGTGTGTGACAGATAGATTGACAGATTGATAAATAGAGAGAGAGAGAGAGAGAGAGAGAGAGAGAGAGAGAGAGAGAGAGAGAGAGAGAGAGAGATTCAGTCAATTAGTGTGTAAACAATACTTTGACAAAACAATGGTAAGAGAACAATCCTCCCATGTTTTGTTAAAGCAGTAAAAAACTTACCCGGACTTCTCTCGGCTCCAGACCAAACTGACAAACTACTACAGACGAGAGTTCGTTGCAGAGAGTCAGTGATAGGGAGCGGCGGCAGAAGCGCATGTGTCGGATTGCAAAAGGAAATCTCAAGGATGTCGGTGCAGCAGCAAGCTCGGCTGGTTCAGTCTGTGGCATTTCAGCCGCCATACTGTCGGGACTTTTCTCCAATGATTGCCTCGGAGTAGAACTGGCAGCCGTGTTGTTGCCGCCAGTAGTGGCTTCCGGTGTTGTCACGGCTCGTGGTTCTTTGTTGGAAGGCCCGGGTGTTGTGGGTTGTGTACAACGTGGAGCTGAACTTGCCGACGGCAATGCTTTACCACTTACAGGAGGGGTGGTTGCCGCAGCTGCTGCCGTTGCCTGCTGCTTGGCCGGTGTAATGGTAGTAGTGGCCGGAGGACCACCGATGGGCGTTGCAATAGGGGCAGCACTTACAGGTGCTGGGGCAACTGGCTGGGCTACTGGAGAGGCTCGCACTGCAGCTTGCGCCGCTGCAGCCTGATTGCCACTGGTTTCCCGTGGGGCTTCAGTTGGACTGCCACCTGCTGCT